TCTGCAGAACATAGAGGAGGCACAAAGTAGACAGTGACCAGTTTACAGGGAGGATGGGTACGGTTTGAGAGATAATTGGTTGTTTACCACCCAGTAAAGAGAGATGAGCCCTGTGAGTAAAGGTGTCTAGGGGCCCATGCTCTGGGAACTTGGCAAGACTGTGTGATCGTAACAGTAGTCATAGTGGTAACAGGTTATGAGAAGCAAAGTCTGAAAGATATGAGGTGCTGGGCTGTGGAGGGCTCTGCATGCCCTGCGGGAGAATTTGAACTTTCGCCAACAGTAACAATAACAGTAGCAGCACCTAACATTTATTGAGCACTTCCTCTTTGCCAGGCCCTCTTCTTTGTACTTTATTGTATTAATTCCTTTAATCTGCACAACAGTCCTATAAGGTAAATACTGTTATTATCCCTATTTGTAAATAAATCACATAAGATAGGTATTGAATTTGTTCTTAAAAATAATAATAAATAAATATAGGCACCGAGAGGACAAGGAACTTGCCCAAGGTCACCCAACTCATCAAGAGCATTCAGAAAGAGCATTCTAAGGATTCAGACTCAGGCAGTGTGGCTCCAAAGTTTGCCCTCTTAACCAGGGCACTGTACTACTTCTTACGGACAACTTTGTGGGGGCAGCCAGAGCCCTGGAAGAGTTTTAAGTGTGGGAATGACATGATTAGATTAGTTCTTTGGAGAGACTGCAGTGGAGTCGCATTACATCTTGTACAAGTGTTCATTTCTAAAAGCATTGAAGGCAAAAAATGCCAAGTTCTATTTCTTCTTGCCTCTGAGTGAGGTTTGCTATGCTAGTGGTGGCATACCACATCTTAGACAGTCCAACACAGCAGCTTTTTTCCTCCATCCTTAGGACAGAGGGCAGAGTCTTTGGAAGACCTGCATATAATAGATGAATCATCAGTTTGTGTTGAGGGACCCTGTTGTTTGAGAAGCACAAAAGCATCACACTCCTGCAGAAACTGAGCCCCTCAGTGGTGACAACAGACTGAGCCTCCCTTCATTTAGTGCATGGCCAAGCCTGTGCATTGCTTAGATAGTGTTTTTCCCTGCCCTTGTTTCTCTCTCTAGTCCATAGTGATATGGGTGCGCATTAGGCCTGTGATGGTCTGCATTGCATTTGGCAGCAGAATGGAAGAAGGACAGCCTGCAAGTGGGGAGGCAGGAGGAAGGCAGGGAAAACAAGCAGAACACAGCAGCTGCTGCCCAGCTACCAGAGTCTGGCCTTGGTGAAGGGAAGGGCAGGAGGCCAGGAGAGTAAAGGTATGAGAAATGTAAAGGAAGTTAAATATTCTGGACCTAATGACCAATTGAATTGGTTTCCTTCAGCTTTCTTCTGATCTGAAAACTTAGTACCTCATTGTATCTTTTTGTTTTCAGTCTGTTACACGCCTTTCTAATTCCAACTAGGTTATGCACTCTCCAGCTTTAATACACAGTACTCGCCATGCTCTTGGCTTATGGCTACTGAAATAGGCCTAAAAGTCATCTACAGGTGTTAGGAACCTTGATTGGTCCATCTATTTTGTCATAGTGGTACAATATTCTGTTTTATTACTTACAAACTGACATTATATGAGGTCTCTTGATAGCCGCCACTATGTTATATAGTACAAGATTTATATTAAGTTCTCTGGTTTCTCAAAATTGAAATGATTTTGTAACTGCTTTAAAGAATTGTTGATACGATTACAACAACGATCAAAACAAAACAAAACCAGCCGGTACATAGGAAAAAGAAACTAGGAGAAACACATCAAAATGCTGACAGTGATTGCATTCGTATTGGCAATTTCATTTTTCCCTTTTCTGTGTTTCCAAAGTTCTGAAAATGTGTCTATGGTACATGCAAAATGTTAACAACTTGTTTTTTAAAAAATAACAGACTTCAAAAATAAAAGCTCTCTGTAATCTCATAATTCTAGCATAACACATTTTTACTTTTGAAATGCTCTTGTTGATATACATGCGTATTTTTCATAGCTGCAGTCCTGACAAATGCAGCTTTGTGAATTCTTTTTATTTTACAGCCTATTGTCAACACTATTTCATTTTTCTACATAGTTTTCATAATTGGCATTTCTAGTGGCTGCCTTGCATTCCATGGTGTTGATGTTCTATATGGAACTTTCCTTTGAACATTTTGATTGTTTCTAGTTCTTCACTCTTTCAGATAAGAGGTAATGAATATTTTTGTTCATTTGGCATTTTGGGTTCATTCAGTTATTTCCCTAACGTGAATTCTTAGCAGTGAACTAACTGCATGAAAGGTTTGAATTCTTTTATGGCTTTTGGTATGTGCCAAGTAAGACCCTGCCTTCTAAAAGAGCCCATTGAATGTGGATGGTCACTGGCTTCATGTATGTGTACCTGTCCCATGTTTCCCTCCCCACTATTGAGCCCCTAAGATATTTTAATAATGTGCATTGGAAAAGACATAAATATTTTAAAAAAGGAAAGAAGCTATTCATAATCTCACCACCCAGAGGTAAGACTTTTAAAAATATATTTCCTTCTAAGTATTTATTTATTTATTTTTGTTTTTGTTTTTTAGAGACAGGATTTCACTCTGTCTGGAGTGCAATGGCATGATCACAGTTCACTGTAATGCCTAACTTCTAGGCTCAAGAGATCTTCCCACATCAGCCTCCTGAGTAGCTAGGAACATCATATGACACCACACCTGGCTAATTTTTAAATTTCTTGTAGAGGTTGGCTCTTGCTATGTTGCCTAGGCTGGTCTCAAACTCCTGGCCTCAATTGATCCTTCCTTCTTGCCATCCCAAAGCACTGGGATAATAGGCACAAGCCACCACACCCAGTCCAAATATTTATTTCATAATGTTGTATCATGTGGCTTCTCTATTAGCCCTTCTCTATTGCTGTATAGAGGTGTTACTTCTCCCTCCATCTTGGGGGTCCTCTTGGCCAGATGTGGTGGCCCACACCTATAATCCCAGCACTTTGAAAGTCCAAGGTAGGAGGATCACTTGAGAGCAGGAGTTCAAGACCAGCCTGGACAACATAGTGAGAACACATCTCTACAAAAAGTAAAAGTAAGTAAATAAGTAAATCTTTGTGCACATTTAGGAAGCATTCTGTAGGAAAATTCCCAGAAGCAGAATTTTCCTCTTGCTGGGTTGAAGTGTGTGGACCTTGTGAAGACTTTTGATGAGTATTGAAAGGCTTTTGATGAGTATTGATGAGTACTGAAAAGTTGCTATTGAGGAAAGTTGTGCCTCTTTCTACTTCACCTGTTAATGTTTGGATGCCATTCCTGCCTTCAATAAGTTAACACCAGTGGCCATTTATTTATCTGTTTATCTTGAAATAAGTTTGGACCTCTCTAGTCTTTTGTTCTTTGTATTTATTTATTTGTTTGTTTGTTTGTTTGTTTGTTTGTTTTTGGTGTTTTGGGATCCCTGGGCATGTTGTTCCTGGAATTAAAATCCCAGAATTTATATTTTCTTTAGGATTTCCCTCATGTTCCATCTGTTGGTAAGTTTCACACATCCACATCTTCACCCAGCCCTCAAACTGTACCCTGCAGCATGGTTACAGAATTATTGATTTCATAGACTTTTTGAAATCTAGAACTCTTTGAAAGAGACTACTTATTTTGGCTTAAAAATTTCCCATTTTTGGCCGAGCGTGGTGGCTCATGCCTGTAATTCCAGCACTTTGGGAGGCTGAGGTGGGCGGATTGCCTGAGGTCAGAAGTTTGAGAACAGCCTGACCAACATGATGAAACTGTCTGTGCTAAAAATACGAAAATTAGCCGGGCATGGTGGTGGGTGCCTGTAATCCCAGCTACTCGGGAGGCTGAGACAGGAGAATTGCTTGAACCTGGGAGGTGGAGGTTGCAGTGAGCTGGGATCTCGCCATTGCACTTCAGCCTGGATGACAAGAAACTCTGCTCAGAAAAAAAAAAAAAAAAAAAAGGTTCCTGCTTTTTGGCCATTTCTTTAATAAATACTTGTTGAATTCAAGTTTAAGGAGCCCAGAGTTCATTGTTACGTGATGGAGTCTAAGGTATATGGGAATTGAAGAGAGGTGAATTTCGGCCAGATTATGAAAAGCCTTGTTACACCAACCTACCTAAGGAGTTTAACTGCATCCTCAAGGCTGATAATTAGTTGGCACTTTTGGGAAAACACTTCGTAGACTGGCCGCAGGGAACCTGGTTAGAAGTTCACAGGAGGCTGGATGGGGGAGAGCTGGATGAGGCCCTGAGCCATGTTGGTGCAGTAGGGACAGGGGTTAAGCCGGGGTGTATTCAAGCAGGCCTTGGTGACAGATAGGTGGTTATGGTATGCTGCGTGTGTGTGTGTGTGTGTGCGCGCGCGCATGTGTGTGTGTCCGTCCCTGTTGACGGAAAATTTGTACTCTATCTTCTGCATAAGAATTGGCCATGATGCAGGAATTTGCCAATATAATGCACTGGAAAACACTTAGGAAACTAAAAATGCTCTATAGATGTAAAAACATATTGATAGTGACAGTATGTAAGAAATTCTGCTCAATGGGGCTGATTCAAGGATGCAATAATGGTCTGCTGTGTGTAAAGCTCTAGACAAGTAGTCATTCTTCTGCTTGACACAGGACCTGTCACAAACTTGAGAGACAAACTTGGGAGAGTTCTTTTTTTGTCTTCATCTATTCGGGTTGCTGAGCATGTGGACACTTGCTTCCCTATCACTTTTTCTCCTGCTTCCAGTGAGGAGGGAGTCTGAACAGCTGAGGGAGGGGTCCAGCCTGGTATGACAGTCTTCCATCGGGGAGAAGACATCTCTATTCCTGGTACGCCTCTGATCTCCAGGGCAGAGGACCATCAGGGGAAAGACTTGAGCCCAGTTCTGAGCCATGGCTCTGACCTCTGGCTGCCTGGCCAGGCTGCTTTGTGTGTTCAGCCGGGGAGGGGGAGGAGACTGAATAAGCCGATAAGAAGGTTCTTCCTGTCCAGCCAAGCAGGCGCAGGGAGGCTTCTGCAGAGGAAAGATTAGACACGGTCCCTGATTTAGAGAATACAACTGGGAGGGCAATGGGGCAAAGCCCAGAGCTCTTTGCAGTGGTATTGTTTATTGTTGGAGGACAACAGAGGGAGCCCCACCTGCTTGTGCAGAAGACAGAAACAGCGAGTTGGGTCTGCAAGGTCCTTTTTTAGGGCCATTTAACAAACATGTTTTGCAGACAGAAGTTCTCCAACTTGGAAAGGAGTTGATGAGTGGGAGGGGTATCCTTTTTCTTCCCCCAGGAAACAAAGCAGGAGCATTTCCAGGCACATCTGAGCCTCTTTGTCAAACACCTGCTCCCAGGTGCTGTGGTACAAAACAAATTAGCCCCGCCTGGGGAGTTAACTGAGTGGGTCCTAAGCGGTGGCCTCCTCCCTTCTGCTCTCACCCATCTGTGGAAAACCAAATCTGTGCTTAGTGCAGGGATGCTCCCTATGGCCAGCTTCTCACTATGGCAGAAAGAGCACCAGAAGATAATTCAGGTGTTTGCTTGGGTTAATGCTGACAAAATGCTGCTTTGTGGAATCATTCTCATGTTTGGAATCCCAAATCTGTTTTGTATTTCTAGGAATGAGGAAAATATCAAACATAATATACAAAGAATAAAATCGAATATTTGATTGTCTTGATTTTTGAAAATAGTATTGTGGAGGTCTCAGGCCTGCTTTATTTTTCATTTTCATTTTTACTTTTTGCATATCTTAAAAAGTATTCCAAGGGCTGCTTCTGAGTTCCTTCCTCCTAACTCCACCCCCACACCATGGCATGTGTTCATGCCAGCCCCCCTGATGGTTTTGTCTGTGGCCTTGCCCAATAGGGATTTATATTTGCAGATCTTATTTGTCCTGGCAGCAGCTCTGATTTGGAGTCAGCGGACCTGTGTTTGCTCTTCTGGCTCTGTTGCTTACAAGCTGTGTGGCCTGAGGCAAGTCACTATCTTGGTTTCAAATCTCATCTCTGTAAAATGGGGAGAAAAAGATGAGCTCCTTCTGCTTCCTCAGAAATGTTCTGTGTCAGAGTGAAGTGAGAGTAATTTCTAAGCTGTATGAATGTGTAAGAGTTTTGTTTTTATTCATGACACAAGCAAGCTATTGTTTGATCCATTGGTTTTGGCTGCCATACTGTGGATACTTGGTTTTGAGGGAAGTCGGTGTGAAAGAATGAATCCTCCTTGTAGAGACTCACTATGCTGAGACATGGTTTAGAGAAGGCAGTAATACACACGGTGAACTGGAAAAGCAACTCCAGAGTCTGGGTGGGACATTCCTTCTTGGGGTCTCTGTCCCATGAAGGGGTGCAGCTAGGCAGACAAAGAGAAAGACAGAAAGATTGAAACAGAACACCCCAAATAGATCTTTTTTTTTAAAAAAAGGGCCTCTCCCTGTATTAGGAAAACTAACTTTCTTTTGAATCACTACTATAGACTGAATAAAAGGGCAGAGTATATTTTAAGAGTTGGAGGTTATCTTCTTTCCTAGAAAGAGCTAAATATTATAGCCTCCCCAGGGGCAACTACTGTTGCCAGTTTTTTTGTATCATTCCAAAAATATCTTGTGCCTATACAGATATAGACTCACATGCCCCCACCATTTCTTCATACTATAAACACACCATTCTTTGCCTTGCTTCTTCCATTTAATATATCTTGCAGATATCCATAGCAGGCTGTGTGGTGGTCCATTGTTGTATGGCTACCTTAATCTATATAACCATTTTCTGCTGATGGACTTTTAGGTTGTTTTTGTAATTGCTATTCCAAATACTGTTGTAATAAATATCCCACTACATGTGCCTTTGTGAGTATAAATGTGATAGATTCCTAGAAGTGCAATTGCTGGGTCAGAGGGTTTGTAATAGCATTTTTAGCTTTAAATCAATAGTGCTCTCCATAGAGGTTGCATTGATTTACCTCCCACCAGTAGTATACAAGTGCCCCATTTCTCTATACTGTCACCAGTACAGGATAAACTTGGGCAATCTGAGATGAATGGCCTCTTGTTATAACTATATATAGTTAAAATTATAATTTATAATTATAAATTTACTATAGTTTGAATTTACTTTTGTGAATAAATTTGATCAGTTAAAAAAAAAATGTAAGTGCTATTTTTATTCCTTTCTTGTGAATTATCTGCTCATGTCCTTAGCCTGTTTTTTCTAGGGGGTTATTGAATTTTTCATATTCATTTTATAGGAACTTTCTATGCATGTAATCAGTTAGACCTCAATAATATATATTGCAGATATTTAGTCAGTTCTTCATTTTTACTGTTTTGCCATTTAGAATTTTGAAACATTTAATGAAATTTGTCAGTCTTTTTACTTTATAGCCTTGATTTTGAGTAATTCTTAAAAAGCCTTCTCTACTTTAAGATTTTATGTGTGTGTGTGTGTGTGTGTGTGTGTGTGTGTGTATATATATATATATATATAAAATGTTTTCTTCTAGTACTTTTATGCCTTCGGTTTTTTAGATCCAAACTTTGAATCCATCCAGAATTTATTTTAGTATAAGGAGTGAGACAGACCTCCAACTTAATTTTTTTCCAGAAAGACCTGGGTTTTGAATCCAGGCACTTTTACTCATTAGCTGTTTGATTTTTGAACTAATTAATCTCTCTGAACCTCAATTTTTTTATCTGTATAATGGGAATAGTAACACCCATTTGATGGACTACTGAAAAGATTAAATAAGATTACATGTGGAAAACATTTAGCACCATTCCTAGCACACATTGTGTTCAAATCATGGTCCAAATGGCCAGGAACCTGGGAACACATAGTATGTTCGGGCAGAGGAGAAATTCTAGATGGCCAGGATACCGAGGCCACCTTGTGACTCACTAGTGTGTCAGAGTAAGTCAGTAACTTCATCACCTAAACCCTCAGTTTCCTCATTTGCAAAATGATGAGAGCTTTCTCTTGAAGTTGTTGGGAGGTCCAGATTAGATAATGTCTGTGAAAGAATTTTGTGAACTATAAAGGGCCATGTAAAAATGCTGGAGTTTACAGTCTGGTGAATAAGGAGCAGCCACAGCACAGGTGGGTGTTTGACATTTGTGGCCAAGGAGAATAATTAACTTGCAATAACATGAAATTAGCAGCTGATGTAAAGCAAGTGAGCTTGCAGCAGTTGATTATAGTAATAGTTAGTAATTGCCTCCTAGAGATTAAGCAATAATGAGCTTCCAGGGACAGAACCTTGTTAGGTGGAAAGATGGATCAAAGGCTTTCAATTCAACGTACACTTACTGAACACAACAGTGGGATAAGAAGAGACAGGTGTCTTGTTGAGGTACAGTCCTTGTCCTTAAGGATAGTAAGGGTGAGAGACACATATAGCATGGCTCCTTCCACGGGCCAGACGCACACGTGGGGACATACTTGGAGGAAGGTCCACAGTGCTCTGGGATCATCAAAGAGGGTGAGACTCACCTGCTGAGCCCTCTGTGCCAGTCTGAACCCACCCTCCAGAGTCTGGCCCAGATTCTAAAGAACCCCTATGATGCCTTCTTGAAATTTTACTTGCCCTTTTTTATTCCTCTGGCTGTTTTGGATTTATCAGGGGTATCTTGTTTCTCGTGCCCTGCCCATCACCTTCCATAGCTTCTGGGCAAGCATGGTGTTATGCCTAGGGCCTCTATTTCTACTGCGATCTGAGTACTGAGATAGGATGTCCAGTTCATTTTGAAGTTCAGATAAACAACAAACTTTAAAATATGTCTCATGCAATATTTGAAACAAATTTATATTAAAATGTATTTGTTGCCATCTGACCATCTGAAACTGAAATTTGACATGGTCAGGGTGACATGACCTGGATTTCTTATTTTTTTTTTTTAAACTGTATCTGGCAACCCTACCTGGGCAGCTCTTATTTCAAATGCTATAAAATATAATAGTGTTTACTACACTGTTTCATGGAGCCCTAGTAGCAAGGCATATATAAAAGGTGTTTTATGCCCGGCTGGGTGGCTCACGCCTGTAATCCTAGTACTTTGGGAGGCCGAGGTGGGCGGATCACAAGGTCAGGAGATCCAGACCATCCTGGCTAACACGGTGAAACCCCATCTCCACTAAAAATACAAAAAATTAGCTGGGCGTGGTAGCGGGCGCCCTAGCTGAGGCAGGAGAATGACGTGAACCCAGGAGGCAGAGCTTGCAGTGAGGGAGATCGGGCCACTGCACTCCAGCCTGGGCGACAGAGCGAGACTCTGTCTCAAAAAAAAAAAAAAAAAAAAGATGTTTTATATGAGAAAAGAATTCTCAGCTAAAATCATGTTTGGTAAATCCTGGATTAAATGAAGTTAACTAGCCTTCATTATGGGAAGTTTCAGAACATTTTAAACCTCCAAGATTGGGTGATAATAGTATTTCTCAGAGTTGTGTTACTGTGAAGCTATCCTCTACACCCCCCACTTACTGAGTATCTAGGGTCATATGACCAAACGTTGAATGAATTTTGAGGGTCTCTGGTAATCGGTTCTATTTGCAGACCATGAGTTCTGATTTTGGGTTTTGGGAAAATACTATTCTATCGAAAAAAATTTATATAATTCTATGATGTTGTTTTTGTTTTTTAAATTAATAAATTTGTAATAAAATATACACATAGACACGAGTATATATAAAGAAAAAGACTAGAGCCAGGTGCAGTAGCTCATGCCTATAATCCCAGCACTTTGGGAGGCTGAGGTGGGCGGATCACCTGAGGTTGGGAGTTCGAGACCAGTATGACCAACGTGGAGAAACCCTGTCTCTACTAAAAATACAAATTAGCCAGGCATGGTGGCACATGCCTGTAATCCCCGCTACTGGGGAGGCTGAGGTAGGAGAATCACTTGAACCCAGGAGGCAGAGGTTGCAGTGAGCCGAGATCGCGCCATTGCACTCCAGCCTGGGCAATAGGAGTGAAATTCTGTCTAAAAAGAAAAAAGAAAAAGACTAGAAGGATGTATACCAGAATGCTAACTAATTATTCCCCGGAGAAGGTCTGGGTAGGGAAGGAGATGATAGATAATTTTCTTTTCCTTTTTGCTTGTCTGTATTTTCTGCAATCAGTATGTATGATTTTTGTCAGAATGCTGGGAAAAACTATTTATATATTTTTGAAAGGAGTACCTGTCCATATATTATCTTATTTGCCTGTCACGCAACTCAGTGGTATAGGTTCTAATATCATCCCCATTTTGTGGATAAGGAAACTACACAGTGCTCTTTAACAGACCCAGGCCCTCTGGCTTCATTGCCTACGCTGCCTCTTTGGTATGAAAGAGTAACCACACTTGCTGCCATGGGAAGGGGCCTTGTTGCCTGTTTACCCAGCCCCTCCCTTTACAGACCAAGTCAAGGCCCAAAGGACCTGCCTGAGACACACAGTTTTTGAATAAGGACAAGTCACCAAAATATTTTAGGGGACTGGGGTTGGAGGTGTGTCAGAAAGTTGGGGAGAAGACCTGGCCTCTGACTTTATCTGTTATATGAGCCCTAAAGGGAAAGAGGAAAAATGCACAGGTGTGCAACAGTGAATACAGGCTTTTTTTAAGGCCACTTATTCACTGATTTATTGATAGAGTCCCACTGTGTTGCTCAGGGTGGAATGCAGTGGTGTGATCATGGGTCACTGCAACCTTGAACTCCTGGGCTCAAATGATCCTCCTGCCTCAGCCTTCCAAAATGCTAGGGTTACAGGCGTGAGCTACCATGCCTGGTAAAGGCCACTTTTAAAGAATGGTTTAAATGTTGCCAAATTCACGTTGCTTAGAATGGTTTTTGTTTTTCTTTTCAAGCTTTTCATACTAGATTTCATTTCCTGTACCTTTTTAAAATTCATTTTTTTTATCTTGCTCATCTATTTTTCCAGTTTGAATCTTATCCATGTATCCATTTATTTACAACTGTTGTGGTGATGATGATACTGGGGATTTTGCTTGCTCATCTATGCTCCTGTTTATATTCCCTATGCCTGGTACTTACTTACAGGGATGAATGATGACTGAATTGTGAGAGTGATGCAGCTGAAGTGTGACTTCAGGTCCTGAAAGAATCCTGGGCTGGAGGGCAAGGTGAGGAGCAGCGCTTGTGTAATCTGAAGTTCAGTGTGTGGCTCCATCAGTGTGGGTGTGTTGCTTCCAGAGCAGGAAGATTCTAGAACACTGCAGTTCAAAGGGCCTGGGGCCTCATTCAGCTGAGCCTCTAGCTCTCATGACAGAGAGACAATGTTAATTACAAGACAGAGGGTAGCAGCATCCTGTTGCAGAAAGAACTAGGCTTTGGGGTCAGATGGATCTAGGTTTGAATCCTGGTCCTGAGACTAACTAGCTGTGTGATTTTAGGATGATATCTCTGTCTCAGCTTCCTCTTCTGCAAGTTAGGGATAATACGAGTACTTACATCATAGAGTTATGAGGATTAAATGAGCAAATACATGTAGAAGAGTACCCAAGACATAAAAAGCGCCGAATATCAATATTATCAATGTTAAGCTGTTATCAATGTTAACAATAATAGAATATAAAATACGGCAGTAGTGTTTGGTTAGTAGCATATCTTGTGGCATGTCTGCTCCCCAGATGAGGCATGACTTTTGTTGTCAATTTAGGGCTGGGTGTAAATGCTTCTGAATGGGTTTCCCTTATTCAGGGGGAAATGCTATCTCATCACATGTGGATTGGTGATGCCTGGGCTGTTACTTTATGTACCAAACAGAAGGGCTTCCTCAAAGAGTAGAAGTTTGCAGATAATCTTGTGATCTTTTCGTTCAGTAATGTGTTTTCCATTAGAAGCAAAACAGTAACTACAACAGATAACCTGGAGTTTACAGTCCAGCTTTACCTATAGACAGCCTGCATTATTAAAGACCAATTTTTACCCAGAGGTCCATTTTAAAAACATCCAACATTTTGGCATGGTGGCTCATGCCTGTAATCCCAGCACTTTGGAAGGCTGAGGTGGAAAGATTGATGGAGGCCAGGAGTTCAAGACAAGCCTGGGCAGCATAGTGAGACCCCGTCTCTACAAAAAAATTTAAAAAATTAGCTGGGCCCAGTGGCTTGTGTCTGTAATCCCAGCTACTTGGGAGGCTGAGGCAGGAGGGTCGTTTGATCCGTGATCATGCTACTGCACTTCAGCATAGGCAACAGAGCAAGATCCTGCCTCAAAAACAAAAGAAAGCAAAACAAACAAAAACACATTCAACAGAGCATTAATTTCTTATAGAAAGAGGTAGTGTCTTAACTTATTCTGTAGCCTGCTCCAGGTGGTAACCACATGAGATAATGTTCACTATGACAAAGCCTTTTTTTCACCTTCTTTTTCTAAAGGTGCATCACTGGGGCACTGTGAACCTTCTTTAAGAGCCCTATTTCTAAAGTCTTTATTTTTGACATTCTCCTCTGGATTTCCTGCTTTGGTTCTTTGACCTCCAGCAAAGATGTAGAAATGAGTGTGTGTCAAACAATCTAGGCACAGAAAAAGAATGCAGTCCAGTCCTGTGTTTCCTGTTTCTTATGGGCTTATGAAAGCAGAGAGTTGTGGTCCACAGAGCCTCATGCCTTCCTGCTGCCTGTGTGCCTTTCCGTGAGTTTTATGATTTTTCTTTCTAATAGCTTTATTGAATTTTAGTTTACATATCATGTCCCTGAGTGTTTATCAGGAGTTTGACTTTGATTCTTGTTTAACTTCTACAGGGTGGTAGAGTTTTATATTTGAAGCCAGAGGGGAAGAGGAAAGAGTGATCACATTGATTAAGTGCCTGTCCTTCATCATGTAATTCATCCATCTTTCTTGAGCTTTTGCTCTGAGCCAGCATTGTGAAAGTCACTTGGGTAGTGGTTCAAGGACATGAATGCGAGAGCCAGATTATCTGGGTATGAATCTCAGCTCCACTAGTTATCAGCTGTGGGACCTTATGACTGCTTATTTAACTTCTCTTGTGTCTCAGCAGCCCCCTCTACCAAATTAGGATACTAATAGTATAGCATCCCCCTCATAGGGTTGTTTTGAGGATTAAATGACTTAGGAATATAGAATGAGACGATGATGATGGGGAGGGGTTAGGACTCTACCAGACACCTCATTGCTCTCATGCTGCTCACAGTTAGGGACTCAACCAGACACCTCATTGCTCTCATGCTGCTCACAGTCATGAGTGTACACGTGTGTAGGGCTGAAGTGCTGAGGGATGGGGCCGGAGTGTGAGATATGTGAATAATTAATTACAGGTAGCATGGTGAGTTTACAGCAGGAGAGGAGGAGGGCATTGTGGGAGCCTGGAGCGGGGAGGCCCAGGCCCTTCGTAGGTTAGAGGAGCAGACTGGAGGAAGTCATGTTGAAGCTGAGATCTAGAGGAGGCTTGGGGTGGTGGGCGAGGGTGCGAGGTTCAGTTGTGTTTTGTGTTCTAGGCAGACGGAACAATATATGTGAAGGTCTAAGGAGAAAGGCAGTCTCATGGTATTTAAGCAACTGAGGAAATCCAGTGAGCCTAGAATGTGGATTGTGAGGAGAGTGGTAGGAGACAGAGCTGGCAGTGACAGCAGGAACCAGATCATGGAAAATTTGAGAATCATTTTAAGGAGTTTGGGTGACAAAGAGCCAGGTACTGTCCTTAGGGGCTCCCATGCATTCTTTCAAGCATCACAATTCTGTGGTATAGGTGTTATTAGCCCCATTTTGTTGATGGGGAAGCTGAGGTTTTGAAAAATTGTCATTTGCCCAAAGGCACAGATTTAGAAGGTCAGTGCAGCCAGGTATGAACCTCGGTCTCTCTGGCTCCATTTTTTACGATACTATATGCCTTTGGAACATGAAGTCTGGCTCTTAGCTTTATGATTTCAGGCCACCCTCTTAATTTCCTTTAACCTTAGTTCACTGACCTGTAAAATAGATAATGTGTTAGTAAATACAAACCTCATATACTTGTAGAAACAAATGGAAATACACATAAAGGGCCAAGTATAATGCTACCACTGCTCATGGACCCAGATTCTTGTACAGAGAAATGTTTTTCCTTCACAGTCCCAGTGAACTGGGATGGAACCCCATGACCTGCCACCTACATGTTGGCTTGGTTGTCAGTTATTTTTCCAAGGATTAATTGAAATCTACACAGGCATCATCGTTGCACACATGGAATTTTCTCCCCTGGCTAGTTGACAGGTTCAGCTAATTGGGCTCTGCTCTCTGCCCTACAAGGCTACAGGCATTTGAGCTCCAGGTCTGCTGGTAGGAGTGACCCTGAGGCTTCCCTACCCTCCGGAGCACCTTTCCCCTCCTGAGCTCCCTTATTGCCCATTTCCTGTCTCTCCAGAGTCTACTGGGTCTGTTCTGCCTACACCTTAGGAAAAGAGCTCCACTGTTGGCGCAAATTGTTATTTAGCTTTTTTTTTTCCATTATTTAACTTTTCTCATGTTGGTCTTGAAGGCAGACATTGTCTCTTCTCTGTATTTCCTGTAGTACTGTAGTAGGCACCCAGTAGATTACAATTGCTTTTACCAGGATAGCGCTTTATGTGTATCAAGGTTGGTTTCTTTTTTTTTTTTTTAGGCAGAGTCTTACTCTGTCACCCAGGCTGGAGGGCGGTGGTGTGATCTCGGCTCACTGCAACCTCTGCCTCCTGGGTTCAAGCAATTCTTGTGCCTCAGCCTCCTGAGTAGCTGGGATTACAGGAGCGCGCCACCACACCTGGGTAATTTTTGTATAAGGTTCTTTTGTAAGTTTTTAAAAATCTTAACGGCAGTCCACTGAAGTAGACAGAGCATTCTTGTAGTATGCCCTTTTAGTCACAGTCTTTCTAGTGCAGTTGGAGAAACTAAGGCCTATACATAAGCAACATGCCCGTTAACTAATTTTTTATTTCAATAGGATAGACATTTACAAAGTGTAACTCTGTCCAGGGGCTAGGAAATAGAACTGAAAGGCATAATCCCATCCCTTAAGGATGAGGCAGATATTTGAACAAAGAACTGTATACAGCAAGTGAAGTTTTAGGACAGAGGAGTGGTGAAAGTGTTTAGCTTTATTTGGGGAAGATCAGTGAAAGATTCAAAGAGAAAGAGATGCTGGCATTGGACCTTCAAGGACTTCAAGGGGCAGAATGGGTGGAAGGGAGGGCATCCCAGGCAGAAGAAATGGCACATACCAAAGCCCAGAGGAGTGAACTTTGGGAAAAGCACTTTGGGAAAAGCACTTTGGGAGGCCCTGTAGCATCAGCATGGCTGGCAGGAGACGTATAGGAGGTAGAGGGGAAAGATGGCTATGACTACCATTGGTAGGACCCTAAGACTTCCAGAAGCAGGAGACTAAAACGGCCCTTTATAGTTCCTTCCCCTTCATTCAGTCTCCCCGTCACTAGCACTTCTTTCCAGTCATATACATTCCACAAATGTCCTTTAAGCTCTGGATGGGCTCTCTATTGTCCTTGCTTTTTTGCACCCCAGCTTGCCTGCACATGGATTTGTCATCTCCTTTTCATGCTGAAAGAAAACAGATTTATTGCAGGAGGAAACTGTGACATGATAGCTTGGAGGAATAAAGGTTACCAGGTGAAAGGACATCTGCGTCATTTATTCTCTGTGGCATGAGGTAGCTGAGAAGGAATAAAGTCCGTCTGTGACCAAACACCTGTGTTTCTGTCTCGCTGGCAGGGTCACCAGAGGGGAGCTTTAAATTGCTCTTTAAATGAGTCAGACCTGTTCCCCCGGAGACGAGGCTGGCGCAGCTTGAGCTCTGTGGGCAAGTCTGACTGGGCCCTTCTCACTTTTGCCTGTGTTTGCCTTGCAGCTGTGTAAATGAGTATGGAAGATTATGATTTCCTGTTCAAAATTGTTTTAATTGGCAACGCTGGTGTGGGGAAGACGTGCCTCGTCCGAAGATTCACTCAGGTAAGGGAACTCGTAAGCCCAGGGTTGGGTTTGTCAGTCTAGCCTGAGGGGTTGGGGTAATCTGTCGAGATGGATGACCAGTTTCAATGCCAGGAGCTTAGCTGTGGGTTTCTGATGCACCCTTTGAAAGCTGCATCTGCTTTGTAGCCTAGACAAGGGATTTTTTTTTTTTTTTCAATTTTCCCAAGATTAAATGATTATTAAAAAAGCGCGCCACACTGTATAGAAATCAACATTCTTTCCCATAATTCTGTGCATCTAGGACTACAGAAATGTCACTGTCCCTGCCCCACATCTTCAAATTAACATTTTCAGGTCACAACAATAAGTCTTCCCAAAGGGGACCTTCTGGAAAAACAAGCTATTTCCTTGGCTCATATTCCGCTCTTTTTGTAGCATGCACCAACAATCTATCCGAGACATATGTTTTAAACCACCTCCTGGGAGCATGGCCCTGGGAGTCTCCACCAACCCTCCCACGCCTCTTCTTGCTTCCTTTAATGACAAAGGCAAGTGGTTTTGCTGTCAGTGTGCAGTATCAAAACTAAATTATTGGATAAAAGTAAGTTACTAGTTAATAATCCCCAGGTGGAAACAAATGAATCTAGACATCAAACTGAACCTAAATTTTTTAAAACTCTAATACAAATTAAACCAGTCAAATTCTGCCTAGGCCCCCTTTAATCCTCCCAGGAAACTTGAATGAATCATTTTCATTTAGGAGCAAATAGGCCAATTTTCTAAATCTCTTCAGTGGGAACGACATGAAAATAGTGAAGAATTATCTGAACTGAATTGAATGGTCCCTCTGGGTTGGATTCGATTCTTATCACATGTGATCTAAGTACAAGTTCCCTTTGAGACTACCCTTTTGAGAATCACTGCTGGAGATTATATACTGCTTTCATATGGAAACGAGTGAGAACTCATTCCGAAGTTGACCTTTTTTATGTGTTTTCCCCTAAAAATATGAATGGTACCCTTCGTAGGACCATTACATACATATATTGAATTTTCATAAAGTATTTGTTCAGCAAGTTGGCACCTGCCCCCCTATCTAAGGCATAGGATAACCTGGCGCTGTGGAAAGAGCACTGGCTTGGGAGTTGAGACATGGGTCCTAGTCCTGGTTCTGCCCCTGGCTTGCTCTATGAGCCTGGGTAAGTTACCTCCCTTTCCTGGGGCTGCCTGTTGTGCATTAGGGGCTGGGTGAGCTCCAAGGCCCCTTCCAGCTCTGACAGTCTGTGGTTTTGTGGAGAACGAGAGAGGCAGATTGAATAACAAACAGCTAGAGGGGCCAGAGTCACTTTGGCAATGCCAGGGCTTTTCCCATGATAAGTGAATAGAACCCATGCTTTTTAAGCCGTGGCCTGCTGAAACCAAAAGCAGCAAGCTAATAGGCATCTGGGCTCAGTCAGACGCCATGGGGATATATGGGAAACTCCAACTGGTTTTACTTCTACCTAACATTAGTCATATTTTCTGCTTTTGACAAAAGGATAAGACACAGAGATGTAGCAAAGTTTTCAGTCCCTTTATCAAAAGTTTCCTTGACCTTGTCTTAGTATTGAAAGGTCACTTAGGACATTGTTCAACCCCCCTCTCTCACTTTATAGATGAAAGGTCAGATCTAGAGGGGCTAAATGCCTTGCTTAGGATCTTATATTGTGAGATTAGATAGAGTGGCAAGGCTAGGATTAGAACCCGGTTTCCAGGTTCTAAGCCTGATAATTTCTACCTCCTATACATTCTAACTTCTGAGACCATTCTCTTTAAAAGCACAAACTCTGTCATTAGATGTGAAAATGTCTCCATTTTCAACAGTAATTTTTTGCCAACAAGCACATTTTTCTTCTTTCTTATTTGTCTTTTGTGTCTACATTTTACCCCTCCCAGCCCCTCAACTCCACCATAAACTCATATTTCAGAGGCAAGATTATGTTTGTTTTTATTATTTAGCAGACAGTTAAAATGAATTGGATCTAGCTGTTTTTTAGGCACAGGGGTTGGGGAACAAAATGGTAGGTGAAACATTGGGAAGAATTTGTTTAACTTTTTGGCATTTGTTGAGGTGCAAACATCTGGAGCTATAAACTTGAAGCTTGGCAGCTTTTGTTTCTGAGCCAAACCAAAACAGAAGAAAATTGATTCAATATTTGAAAGTAAAGTTATGAATGTTTATATTTACATCTTTTGCAGACATGCAGTAGAACATTTTCTTTTGGTTTGAAGTTCAATCTTTTAAGCTAAAACTTTAATTAAATAATTCTTAATTAAAGATATCTGCATCATAGTTGCCAGAACTAATAAAGTCAATTTTACTTTAATTTCTGGAAATTCTGGAATATAAGTAAAGAGGGAAGAGAAACTGGGTGAAGAGTTCTTTCTTGACAGAATTTCTTGCTACCCCCAACTCCCTCCCTAAGCTTATAGGAAACAGTATGTAATAGTAAATTGCATAAATTATACTTGTGCCTTTGTTAAAATCTCATCTTTCTGGTTAAGTTTCCAGTTTGAAGTAAAGCATTTTGTTTGTTTGTTTTAAAATGGCTTACATCAGCCTCAAACTTATTGAATTTGAGGCCCAGAGAGGGTGAGTGGTTTGTTTGAGGTTACACAGAGATTCTAAGGCTGCTGCCTCCTGGTTTAATGCTGTTTCTACCCTACTGTCTCCCTGATGACTTAATTTTCTTAGATTATCTTCCCAGTGTCATTGGCTTTGATCCATGTAATTACATATGCATGGTACATTGCACTGAGGAAAACAGTGATCACCCTGGGGCAAAGGAAAATTCAGAAGCTTCTGGAGATCCAAAAAGACAGATCCCAAAACTCTCTTATTCCTGCTTCTCATGCTGAGTTTTTATTTGTTTTTTCATGTTGTTGCCCACTCCCATGGCTGTCCATGCTCAAGACTGATAACTAGTTTTAAGTACCCTTGATTTTACCTCTTAGAAAGAACCTATCCGTTTTGCCCTGACCTTTCCGATTCTGGTATCATCCCTGTGGTTGCATGCCCTTCAATCTTATCTTCATGTCTGATTTTTCTGTTTCATTCTTAAAATCAGGTTCCCCTGCCCTTTCTCAGTTTTCTCCTTCACCTGTCTTATCTCCTTTTCTCTGTCCTCCTATCTCTTTCCTCTTGTTTCAGCATTTCTCTCTCACACTTTCTCCCTCTTTTCTCTTTTCATTAAGACATGCATACAGAGTTGCACAGGGCTCCCTTGAGGGTAACCAGAGTTCTCTTTTCTACCAGTCAACTCAGCTGAAGGAAGGACCTGGTGATGGGTGTTACTGGGGGAGAGGAGAAAGAATTTCATTTAATGGAAATATTTGCTTAGCTGTTCTTTTCCATTATTTCTTCTTCAGGGTCTTTTCCCCCCAGGTCAAGGAGCCACAATTGGAGTTGATTTTATGATTAAGACAGTGGAGATTAATGGTGAAAAAGTAAAGGTAAGGTGTTAAATATTCACTAAGGTTGTCATGTGCTATGTGAGAGTTTAGGGGAAGTAGTGCTTTCATAACATTTATTAAATCTCCAAATTGAAACCCACATTGAAACAATGCACTCAGCCATAGCAGCTTATTTCCAGAGTTCTTCTAGTCTTTTTTATGGGGGAAGGAAGGAATTTTGGTTGATGTGTTTACAGATTAGAAGACAGAAAATGGCTAAGGCAAGTTTATCCTGTCTCCTGTCATGTCACAAGTGACATAAAGACAAGGAAGAAATTTCTTTTTGAATCTCTTGAGCTGGGCCAATAAGCAGGTGCTACCTCCTCTAAACAGCAGCCCCATGAAAGAGGCTCCTGATTTCTATGTTTCATTATGAATCACTTATTTAAATTATCCTCTCGCCTATCATATCCTTGTCTCTAAAAAGGAAAGACACTAAATGAGGAGTATGGGAAAGGATACATGCTCTCTACCGCCTGCTTCCTTCCCCTCCAGCCTTTGTGGCTTCTGGATGGTTTGGTACCTGGAAGACGTATGGTGTGTCCAGGAACAGGACGAAGGAGAGAATGTTTATTGAGTACCTACAATCTGCCAGTGCCTCTGCTGGGTGCTTTTACATATGTTATATTTAGTTTAGTCCTTACTGTAAACCCATGGGGTAAGTGGTATTATCCTCATTTTACTGGCTTCAGAGAGGTTAAATAACTTATCCATGGCTACACATAGATAAGTATAGGAAAGGAGACAGGCAGGATTTGAACCCATTTAACCAACCAATACACACCACTGCCTTTCTGGGGTCTCCCCTGCCATGAAAGAAGAGGGGAAAAGGCACACTAGGCCTATCACCTGGAGCAAGGAAAGGAGGGAGGTGATGGAAAGAAATGTGAAGTGAGACTAAATCACCTGGAAGGAGGGTAGATATACTGATGTTTGGCACTGTGCTCTACCTGCCGTCAGAGTTACTGAAGTTCCACAATTGGCTCTTCAGAGCTGGGCCTTATGGAAAGAAGTGATAGCCAAGGCCGGGTACAGTGACTCCCGCCTGTAATCCCAACACTTTGGGAGGCCAGGAGTTGGAGACATAGTGAGACTCCGTGTTTTCAAAAGATAAAAAATTGTCTGGTCATGGTGGCATGCACCTGTAGTCCCAGCTACTCGGGAGGCTGAGGTGAGAGCATTGTTTGAGCCTGGGAAATTGAGTCTACAGTGAGCCATGATTGTGCCATTGCACTCCAGCCTGGGTGACAGAACGAGACCGTGTGTGTGTGTGTGTGTGTGTGTGCGCGCGAGCGCGCACGCACGTGTGTGAGAGAGAGAGAGAAAGACAGACAGATGGAGTCAGGGGGGTGTGGGGGAGGGATGGAAAGAGGGAAGGAAAGGAAGGAGAGCCCAGCCATCAGCAGCACAATGAAAACTGGCATTTTAGAGTTCTACCTTGATTCCCAACCTAAGCATCCTATGTTTGGGTCCGTTCATTTGCATCCTTCTCCCATATGTACATGCTCTCTTTCCTTTGAGTGCCTTGGGAAGAGCAGAGAAGCTCCGTAATGCTCTTCAGCATTTTCTAGATACTTGCCATCACAGAGAAGTGTTTAGGAGGAGGTCTTTGAGTGGAGGCCAGAAGCTCTCTCAGTGTCTCTTCCAGCCCTGACTACTAAAATAGCTTGTACTGCAGAGACATTCACACCAAATACAGCAGTGAATGGGGAGCTGGAGCACTGGAAGAGGAAAGCAGGGTATGAAATCCACATAAATGCTAACTAAAAAGTGAACAAAAATAGTGTAGGGGATGGGGAGAAGGAGTTAGGCTATGGGGACAGGAAAGAGAGACAGGAGTGTGCTCAGGAGGCATTGATGGGAAGAGCCTTTTGTAGCTTTCTGTTGTCCTAGCGGAGGGGAGGTAGTTACCCAAGGAGTTGGGTAAAGATAACTACTGTTTCATGCATTTTACTTCCAGATATTTGGGTTTTCCATTCATTCATATATATATAAATGAATATATATGAATATATATATATGTGTATATATATATGAGTTCATTTATTTGATCAGAAATGTTGGTGCCTACTACCTTCCAGGCACTGGCCATAAATAAGGGTGAATAAGGAGTGGTCCCTGGTGTTAAAGAACAGGCTTATTTTTCTTTCCTAAATTCCCGGGCATAAATATTCCATTTATTCTTTCTGCAAACCTTATTTTAAAGTGCTTATTACACTCTGCAAAAATTGATATTTTTATAACATCTGACTCCACCATAAGGCCACAGGCTCCCCAAGAGCAAGGTTTGTGTTTTACTCATATTTGTATTCACAGCACACTTTCTGTCCCCAGTACCTTTTCAGGCTTCTAGAACTTTATAAAAAGTGACAGTTGGCTCATCTCCCACATCTAGTCCAAATCAACTTGCCTGTGATTCTTTCACGCCCAATATATAAAATAAAGATACAGGGTGACCCTCTTCAATCACATTAATTTAAGGGCCTCATTAACATGTAGGCATATGAGGAATAACTTCTTTAATCCTTCCTTAGAAGAGGGCAGAACTGCACAGTTGTTGTCTTACTGTCATCCTTTTTTTTTTTTTTTTTTTTTGAGGCAGGGTCTTGCTCAGTTGCCCAGGCTGGAGTGCAGTGGTGCAATCACAGCTCACTGCAGCCTCGATCTCCTAGGCTCAAGTGATCCTCTCACCTTGGCCTCCCAAGTAGCTGGGACTGCAGGTGTGTGCCACCATGCCCAGCTATTCATTTTTATTTTTATTTTTTGTAGAGATGGAGTCTCACTATGTTGCCATATTGATCACTCCTGGGCTTAAGTAATCCTTCTGCCTCAGCCTCCCAAAGTGCTGGGATTACAGGCGTGAGACACCACATCCAGCCTGTCATCCTTCTTCTTTAACATTTACCGAATATCTTTTCTCAGTGATGTTTAAGTGTCTTTTTGCTAGTAGTTTGCAGGCTTTCCCAGAGCCTCATAATGTCAGTGGATAAGAGAATCCACCAGTGATTTGTATGGCATCATCCGCTTGGTGAGTGGCAGGACCACTCTCCTGACACCCTCGTCAGTGTCCTCTACAAGTATCATTCTTTCCAGGATGGCTCCCAGGATTGAAGGCAGGGAATCCAAGATATTAGAAAGATTCTTGTAGCTATTAAGGCCAAGTAAGCACCAAATCAGTAAAAACAAAATTAATGAAGAGGCGCTTCTCTTAAAATAGTCTGCATTATGAAAGTGACCTCTGGTAGAAAATATAATTAAAACATATATAGACCACTGAACTGTATGTTTAAAAGTGGTTAAAATGATAAATTGTATGTATGTTTTAGCAGAATAAAAAATTGGAAAAAACACAGAACTTTCTCATATAATTTTTAGTCTATTATAAATTAATGAGTAATAAGCAAAATTCTAAGCTCAATTTAAACCATTTTAGCCTTAGGAGATTAATCATAATAGAAATAGAAGATTTGCTGTATCTCCTTCCAATCAGGTCTATGTTGATTGATAGGCGAGTCATCAAAATATTTGTATGTATTTGTTTCTTCAACCATCTGTCCATCCATTCATTCCTCCATCCTGTGTTATAGTAAATGTTTTGTGCCAAGCACTGTGGTGGTAAAGCATCACTACCCCTTAGCAACTTACTGTCATCTAGCTCCATCTGTGAAATCTTCTTTAATACCCTACTAATCTGTTAAGTAGAATTGACCAATTCCTCCCTTGTGATTCCACAATCCTTTGTTCATTCAGTTAGCCATCATTCAAATGTTTCTACCACATACTATGTACTGTGTTAGGAAGGTACTGGGGCTGTAAGGTCAAATAGAAGACAGCCTTTGCCCTCAAAGAACTCAGTAGTAGAGTAGTAAACCAATGATTGCAGTACATTATTGTGACGGTGAGGCAATGGAGGTTAAGTAGTGGTGCAAAGAAGAGAGTAGACAAACAATGTAGCCACATGCTGCAGGTGAGAGTGGTTGGAAAGCCTGTGGCTGCAGTATTGAAAACATATTGACAGACATGAGACTAACAGCAGGAGACGCTGTCTTCCTTTTTAATAGAACATCTTGTATTCTACTATAGTTAATTAACTGTGTGTGTCCTTCCTATAGACTGTGAGCTGCTTGAAATTAGGGATGATTTTCTTCATCTTTATATCCTCCCTGTGTTTTACTCATCTTTATATACTCCATGCGCCTAGCACAGTGCCTTGCATATGTTAATGTCCTATAGATGCTGAAAGGTGCAAATGAATTGCAGAGAATGGTGAAACCAAGTTGAGTAACAAAGGCAGTAGAATATGAATATTCTCAATAATCAACTCTCAGCTAGAAACAGGCAGCCCCCTATGAGATGGCATGCTCACACAATCGCTGTTCTAGAAAATATTTCAGTGGCTTTAACCCTCGAAGCTGTTCTCAAGATGTGAGAACATACTGATTTCTAATGCTGAACAGTACCTAAATCACAATCACAAGTGTTTTAAAGCTGCACTGAGTGCAGCTTTAAAACAATAGCCCGTTATTCTAAGACACATCCTGGCAGAGAGGAACCGTGTCCCTAGGTTTGAGGCAGAGAAGAGAAATAGCCTTTGTCCCAGCAAAAACCGTAACATCTGTACAGCGGCCTTTAGCATACACAGGCTTTCATGTGTATCATCGAAGAGCAGCTGCAACTGCAGATCAAAGGAGAGCCTTTGTGTGCTGCTGATTCATGGCAGGGACTACGGGTCACTCAGCAGTCTCTTTAGCTAACCTGGTATGAGCAGAGAGTGACACCAGTGGATTCATCCTCTTTGGATACAGATGCACATTTTAGTTAGTCTTTGGTGGCAACAACAGCATGGGAGCATGAAATGAGTTCTCAACTGGAAATAGAAGGCCTGGATGCCAAGTCCTAGCTTCGTGGGTAACCAGTTAGTTAGGGGACAGTTTCCATTAATATGGGGAGGTATACACTTGCCTACCTCACTGGGTTGCTGTAAAGATTAAATGAGACCATCAATAAATATTTGAGCACCTCCTGTTTGCCAAGTTCTCTATTTGCTCTAAATGGACCCTGACGTCTCCCTCATGAAGATTTCAGTTTAGTGGGAAAGATGGCTATTAAACAAATTATTACAAGTAAGTGCTTCAGGCATGTCAGGTGCCATGAGGGAGAATGGCAGGATGTATTGCAAGAGAGACTGTGTGGGGTGGAGGGGTGGCTTAGTGGGAACCTAACCTAATCTGAAGGTTCTGGAAAGCCTTCCTGAGGAACATGAATACATGGACATGAATACACCTGTGACCTGCAAAATTTGTGCAATTAGAAGGAAAGATTAGTATTTTCGTTGATGTTCTTATTTCTCAAGGCCTTGTGATTTATACTCTGGAGGATAGTTTGTTTTCAGTAGTTGTCTACTCTGTGCAGGGAAATTCAGGGAAATTGAGAAGTACTGCCTTCTTTGTTATTAGAATTATTAGTTATTAGGACTTAGAACTGGTTGATAACTGCAGAAAAAGTGAACCTTCATCAGGTTGTGTATTAACCACTTTTTGTAAAAAAATACTCGAAGCCCAATGAGATTAAGTGACTTGACCAAGGTCATAGAGCTTAAGAGACCTGAAGGGAAATTATATTGTTGTCTGCCATGGCATGGTTCTTGTTTTCTTTAACAAAGCTAATACCTTAATACATTCATTTGAATTTCGAACTGGAAAAGTGGTGAGGTTGGCTGTCCCTCCAGTTGCTGATTAAATGCCAGCAGTCACAGGATAACAGCTTGCCGTGTATCATGCCTTTTGTAATATGGCATTGTGTTTAAGAAAGTGGACTCTGGGACCACAATGCCTGGTTGAATTGGTTCTGGGACATACTGGCTATGAGATGCTGAACAAGTTAATTAATCTCACTGTGCCTCAGATTCTTCATGCAAGAAATGGGTATTGTAATAGTATCCACCTCATAGGGTTATTGTGAGGAATAAGTGAGTTGCCACAAGTAAAATGCTTAGAATAGAGCTTGGCACGTAATAAATGCTTGATGAATTTTCTTTGTGTATTTTTTAAGAATGAAAAGGAAACTCTTAACAAAGAAAAAAAAAAAACACACAGCAAACAAAATAAGCCCTTCTTCCGAACCAGAAACACACCCAACAATTTTTTTTTTTTTTTAATTTTCAGTGCTTTTTTTTTTCTTCAGGGCAGAAAGTAACCGTTAAATTATTTGTGTTCCCACTAAACACATTTAAACCATTAAAGGTGTTCACATTTCCAAACTAAAGCAAGGCAAAGCTTTTTTTTCTTTTTTTCTCCAACCTGATCCTTCTCCACCTGATTCTTCTGTTATGCCTTTACAGCTACAGATCTGGGACACAGCAGGTCAAGAGAGATTTCGGTCCATTACCCAGAGTTATTACCGAAGCGCCAATGCCTTGATCCTCACCTATGACATTACCTGTGAGGAATCCTTCCGTTGCCTTCCTGAGTGGCTGCGAGAGATAGAACAATATGCCAGCAACAAAGTCATCACTGTGTTAGTGGGTAAGTAAGGGCTAACCAGGAAGGAAATTGATTTGTGGGCATTAGAGGATTTATAATCACATAAAGCTCATACATTGCTACTTTCCAAGAATATAGTCTATAGCTAATAATTCATGCAGTCAACCTTTAGTTCTTCTGCAATTGAAGAGAAAATGAAATAGGTGCCATCCCATGGTGACGGTTTAGAAAAATAAAGTAGAAAACATTTTCTATCAATGTAAGCTCTAGGGAAGAAGTTGGATGGCCATGAAAGTTATGTGAGCTGCTAAAAATTTAAAAAGTCTAATTACAAGATGAAAGAAATGGCTGTTCTAGAAGAAAAATGTATCTTTTCAGTTGATTAGGAATTCATTGTTGAAGCAATTGTTTATTGCCTTAAAAATGGATTTTGGTAAATTTTTTTCCCTTCCTAACATATAGCCTGATTTGAGAAACTATGTTTCAGAAAGAATCTGCTAAGGGCAATGCTATAGTTTGTTTCATTTTGTAGGAGAATAAAACCTCTATTTAGTGTCGGGGAAAGCATAAAACAACCCTTGATTTTCTATCATGACTGATACATGCATTGAAATGGACCAGGTCTTTAAAAACTTCTCTGTCTGTAGTGGAAAAGTGTCAGTAACCATTTGATCATTAACATATTTTCTTCCTAGAAAGGAACGTTCCTATATAGTCTAGCAATACCTGAATTTGGGAAATTTGAGTAGAGAGCCTTAGAAGCATTGTTAAGTTACAAATTATGGTTAATAATAAGCTCAGTAAACACTTTAGAATAGTGTTATAATTGGTATATGTGTGCCAGGAATGATACGAGGAACTTTATGTATCATGATCCCTGATTTACAGATCAGGAAACCACGACTCAAAGAGGTGAAGTTCTTTTCCCAAGGTCACACAGCACGTAAAATCAACTCCAAGCCCTGTAGTTGTCCAGCTGTGTAATATGTTATGTTGTAACAAATTGCTAGACTCTTCCTTCAAGCTGCTGGGTGAAGCATCTGTGTTTCTATGAGCTAGTGCTCCCTGCAAAACCCTTTTGGACAGTGTTGAACCTTTGCCATGAAGCATTTGAGAGGTCTACATTTGTACCTTCTGTTTTACAGAAAGCCTTCAGGAACTTGAGTCAAAGCATTACTACTTGGGATTTTATCTAAGGAAGTTAAATGAAAATTTGAGGGGAGATAATTAGTACAATATGAAAGAGGAATTGGCTTAAAAAACAATTTTACTATGGAAAATTTCAAACATAAGCAAAAAGTAGAGAAACAGTATAGTGAATCCCCTTCTACACATCTCCCGGCTTTCACAGTTACTAACTCATGACCAATCTTATTTTCTCTTCCCTAGCAATGCGTCCACCTTCTCCCTCAGATTATTTTGAAGCAAATCTCAGCTGTTGTATTAATTCATGTTTCAATAGCTGTGTATATCTCTAATAGATTTTTTAAAAGAAAACCTAACCTCAGTGGCATTTTTACACCTAAAATATGTTAACAATTCCTTAGTAGCCTTAAAAACTTAGACAGAGTTCACATTTCCCTGATCAACTCATGAATTTTTTGTTCGTTTGTTCAAATTAAGATCCAAATAAGGTCCAGAAGCCGGGCACGGTGGCTCACACCTGTTTTGGGAAGCTGAGGCAGGAGGCTTGCTTGAGCCCAGCAGTTCTGACCAGCCTGGGCAATATAGCGAGATTAGCCAGGCATGATGGCATGAACCTGTGGTCCCAACTACTCAGGAAGCTGAAGCAGGAGGATCACCTGAGCCCAGAAGTTGAAGGCTGCAGTGAGCTATGATCACACCACTGCATTCAGCCTGGGTGACAGAACCAGACTCTGTCTCAAAAAAAAAAAAAAGAACACCATCTAAGGTCCATACGTTGTGATTGACAGCTACATCTTTTCATTCTTTTTTCTGAAGTTTCCACTCCCATTTTTTTTCTCTATTAGAATTTATTGCTAATGCATTTGTTTGTCCTATAGGCTTTACAAGTCTAAATTTTGTTTTATAGCCCCTGAGGTATCATTTGATATCACCTCCATCACCTGTATTTCTTGCAGATTTGTAGGTAAGTCTAGAGGCCTGATGACAGTCAGGGTTTTTTTGGTTTTCTTTTTAGACAAAACGCTACATATATCATACTCTGAGGGGTAGTTCTCATAGGACAGGCAAGAAGAATGCTTGATTCTTTTTTATTCACCACTTTTCAAGGTAATGAGCTCATTCTCCAGTATCTTCTAAAAGTAACTATTGACATCTGTTTATATTTTTAATATTATTATAAATTTATAGATTTAAATAAATTTGATGGGCTGGGCGCGATGGCTCACGCCTGTAATCCCGGCACTTTGAGGGGCCGAGGCAGGTGGATCACTTGAGGTCAAGAGTTTGAGACCAGCCTGGGCAACATGGTGAAACCCCATCTCTACTAAAATATACAAAATATTAGCCAGGCATGATGGTGTGTGCCTGTAATCCCAGCGGGAGGCTGAGGCAGGAGAATCTCTTGAACCTGGGAGGCAGAGGTTACAGTGAGCCGAGATTGCACCACTGCACTCCAGCCTGGGTGACAGAGCGAGACTCTGTCTCAAAAACTAACTAACTAAATTTGATGTATTTCAGTCCCTTGCAATTATTATTACTGATGCTCCCATTATTCCAACTTTACCAGTGGGAGCTTCTTCAAATGGGCTCCTGAGTCCTTTTGATATGACCCCAGGAATGGTGGATAATTTTTTTGCTTTCTGGTATAACAAGTGTTTCAGTCACATCTTGTGCATTTCCTGCCCCAGACCTGGAATTAGCCATTTGTTCAAGAAGTGCTTTATTTTCAATAGGGAGTCATATTTAGAGGCCACAACCTAGGTGTTAGGAGCCCTCCTGTTTAGCCATTGCTTTTAGGCCTTTCAGTGGACAGAGCTTGTTTGTATGTGTGCATGTGTGTGGTGGATTCTGTAGTATCCCCAGGAGGGTTTTCCTATTATGTTCTGCTAGCGTTCCGACTCGCAAGACTACCATAGACCACGCATGGCATCGTGTTCACTTAGAAGGACGCAGGACAGGAAACACAGCTTAACAGCAGATCAGCATCCAGCTTCCCTCTTCAGTGGAAGTAATCCTAGTAGCAGTCCATGTAACTTTCCAGGACCTCCTACCCGGTCCCCACACCCCAGACAATTCTAGTGTGAGGGAGCAAGGTTCATGTCAAACAAATGGAGGATCTGCCTTGGCCTAGCAGCCTCAATACCCCATAGGAGCCTAAATCTATCATAGCAACTCCACAATCATAACTTTCAGGGTCTCTTCAAGTGAAGTCACCACATTCAGGGAAGCTCAGAGCTATGGCTTTCCATTAGGTGTTTATAATTCGTAGATAGAATTCCCAGGCCAGAAGTAATTTATCAATGAGGGGTCATTTTTACCATAAGTGGTGTTGCCAGATAATACAATTGACACACCTTTGTCAGGTTTCCTGGAGAATTTGAGGTAGGTAGAAAACTTTTTAAAGATAAAATACATCATGAATTATTCATACTGATACTTCTATTTATAATTCAGGACTGCAGAAATTTTACTTAACCTCATTAATCTTATGTTTATATTTCATTTTTCCTATGCCAAAAGTCCCAGTTCCCAAAGATACCAGCATAACTACTAATTTGCTTTATCCCATAATACACAGATAGCAACCTCAGAATAATAATACCAACAGCACCACCACCAAGAATGATTACTGAAACAGTTCAAGATTGTTTCTTCAATTCTTTTTGTCCTTAGGCTGTATACCACTGGGGTTGCATGGAATTACTGTATTTTAAACACCTTGAAATAGTTACTCTGTTGGCCTGGCTTAGTGGCTCAATAGTCTATAATCCCAGCACTCCGGAGGCCGAGGCAGGTGGATTGCTTAAGCTCACAAGTTCAAGACCAGCCTGGACGTGGCGAAACCCTGTCTCTGCAAAAAAAAAAAAAAAAAAAAATTAGCTGGTCATGGTAGTGCACGCCTGTAGTCCCAGCTACCGGGGAGGCTGAGGTGAGACGGGATGGCTGGAGCCCAGGGGACGGAGGTTGCAGCAAGTCAAGATCGCGCCACTGCGCTCCACTCTGTGCAGTAGAGCCAGACTTTGTCTCAATTAAAAGAAAAAAAGGGTTATACTCTGTGTGGTTATTCCACACATGATGAACATGTTCGTTTGCTTAATTTTGCTTTCAGTTTTTAGGGATTGGTTTTTAAATTTAATTTTGAAATTAATTGTATAATTATATAAAGCATTTTTAAGTTCCTAAAGTAAAATCTACAAAACAAAGTATATTCAGAGAGATCGGGTTTCTATTCCTTTCACCTCAACCCTGTTCTTTTCATAGGTAACCATTTTCTTTTAAATTAAGATTTTGATTTATTCTTCTATTAAAAAATAAAGAACTAAAATACGTGTGTAATATATGTATTCATAGCCTTCCCTTTTTCTTGGGTAGACAGTTGCATATTGTATATACTTGTTTTTTTTTGCTTTGCTTTTTTTTTTTCTTAACAGCGTATCCCAATGTTTCCATTACATGGCAGTATATAGAAATACTCCTAATTGATTTTTACAGCAGCAAATACTCCATTGTGTGGATGTACCATAGTTTATTCAGTCAGTGCCCTACTGATGGACATTTGGGTTGTCTCTAGTTCTTGTCATTATGAATGGCACTCTTTTTTTTTTTTTTTTGAGATGGAGTCTCACTCTGTTACCAAAGCTGGAGTGCAGTGGTGTGATCTCGACTCACTGAAACCTCCGCCTCCAGGGTTCAAGTGATTCTTCTGCCTCAGCCTCCCAAGTAGCTGGGACTACAGGCACGTGTCACCACACCCAGCTAATTTTTGTGTTTTTAGTAGAGACAGGGTTTCACCATATTGGCCAGGCTGGTCTCGAACTCCTGACCTTGTGATCCGCCCACCTTGGCCTCCCAAAGTGCTGGGATTACAGGTGTGAGCCACTGTACGCAGCTGGCACTCATATTTTAAAGTAAACATTTCAGTAATCACAGTCACATTTGTTTTGCTTTACTTGCCCATCTGTCTGGTTTGACTTCAGATCTGGAGTTGAATTTTGATGCTTCTCAGCCTGCAAAAAGTCAAATACTGATTCTTTATTTGATTTTACTACTGTTATAGGCAACAAGATTGACCTGGCTGAAAGGAGAGAGGTTTCCCAGCAGCGAGCTGAAGAATTCTCAGAAGCTCAGGACATGTATTATCTGGAGACCTCAGCCAAGGAATCTGATAATGTGGAGAAACTCTTCCTTGACTTAGCATGCCGACTCATCAGTGAAGCCAGACAGAACACACTTGTGAACAATGTATCTTCACCCTTACCTGGAGAAGGGAAAAGCATCAGCTATTTGACTTGTTGTAATTTCAACTAAAGGCTGAGGCACGGAGAAGCAAAAGGAATCAGCAACTGCCCTGATGGGCCATGAGATGCTGGGGAGATCTGGCGATGACTGTGGCTCCCGCTCTCGGACCTTCGGACTCCTGTGGGCTCCTGAGCTTACAAAGCATGGCAGGCCAAGGGCCTCGACCACAGGCCAGCATTAGCAGAACATATAATGGTTTCACCCTTTTGCAGTCTGGAGTTGGAGCAAGGAGAAAATTGCACTAGGCACTCCATGATCTGCAGAGCATGTTGCTTTTGTTTTTTTAAAAAGCAAGTAAAAGCGCATTCCTGAACAGAGTCCAGGGGGAAATGTACTGTAGGGATCCCTCCTGCACATCAGTGGGTGCATGTGGGAGCTGTTCTTTAGGGCTTCGGTGGTAATCATCTTGGGGCCCTGATTTTCTTGTCTACCAGATAAACCAAAACTGGGAAGGCCAAGTACAGTCTCTGTGGTGCGTATTGACGACCCCATGGAGATTTTGAAAAGTGTTATTTCTCTTGTCCACAGGCACTTTCAAGAACTTTGGGATGTAAAAATGAAATGAAACCTTTACCCATGACCAACAGTAACAATCATTGTTTTAATAATATATACAAACTCCATGACTCCTTTTGGTGCTAATGATTCCGCTATTTCACAGACCAAACGTTTTAGTACGTTAATGTCCTTAAATGTATTATAAAGAAATAAAAAAAAAATGGGGGAAGTCCATGAATCAATACTCTTTCTCAAAGTCTCATTACTACCTTTTTAAAGGTGGATTTTTGGGAAAAGAGAATAGTTTTCCTTTTATGTTCTTCTCTGAATCTCTACCACTTTCTTCTCTTGTGTCTCCGGCCCTTTATGTAAATGAAAAAGTTTGCAAAATGAAAAAAATAAATAAATAAATGGTTGATGACATTCTAATATAAAAACTTAGCTCTAAGACATTTTGAGTAGTATGAGGAAACAGACCAGATATGACCAAAATACTGTGGATGAATGGACTGTAGTGCAGGGCTCCAAGCAGAGCACAGTCCTCGATAGTAGGTCACGTCTTTTACTTCCTGGTACTCTCCATCTTGGACAGACCAAGGCTTAGGATTTTGTAGATTTTTTAGTATGGTAAGTGAGAATAGCAACAGATGAAAAGTCTCACAACCCGTTTTTATATCTTCTGTGATAACCTTAGAAAAATTCTGCTTGTGGAAGCAGATTGAACTGTCATTTATCCCCTCCGTCTTGTAATAATGTTACCTTCAGACGCTTAACCCTACGTTCTTTCTTTTTTCTTTCTCCTTTCCTCTCTGTTTTTCTGGTCGCTCCTTTTCTTCTTCCCTCCCTCCCTCCTTCCCTCCCATCCTTATATGCATGTGTTACTGCAAATCTCCAATTCAAATGGAGGTGTATATGCCTTTACTTAGCCAATTTAAAAACAGGACTCAAAATGGGAGATGTGCTGCTGAATATGTGTTTCTGTTTCTTCAGTGCCATACTTTGATAGCTTCCAATTTGTTCACTGATACAAATGCAAATTGGGAAAATAATTAAACCTGTATGCTGTTGATGCTGTCAGATGTTTCTGTAGCTTGCTGCTTAGCATAACTGAGGGAGGAGTAATGGAATAAGGATATGATGTTTAATTCCACTGTTGCTGTAGATGGTGACAATCTCAGTCCTGATATGTTGATGTTTGAAAGCTATTTAATTGTAAAGAATCGAGTCATGTAAAGACACGATGTGGATAAAGCATTTCTGGCATTTCTCTAGCAGATTCCAGATTGACCAGTCTCTTGCACATGAGATTATGCATATTTTTTAAGGGACTGATACTTTTGATTGGCCTCACTGTGTTTTTCCTGATCCTATGGGAAAGAGAAAGGGATCCCAGAAGTTTGACTTGTTTTTCTTTTAGAATCTGTCTTTGCAGGAAAGAAAAGTCATTTTAATAAAAACCAAAATAATTTATAATAATTGTTGCCTTTCCCTCCCCATCCTCTCCACTAAGCCAGCAACTAAAGGTATTCAGAAAACAAGTTAATCAAGGAGGGCAGAAGAACTTTTTTTAAACTGTAAGGAAATGTTCCTAAGTTTAGATTTATTACCTGTCATTTAGGGCAAAAATCCAGTGTCCCCAGCACATGACGACCCAACTTTGTCTCACAGTAGCAAGTGTGTTGAAAATAAAGTTGCTTTGTGAACTTAGAGGAAATGGCTGTGTTAGATTGGACTGATTTAGTTGCAAAATAACACCTTTTAGGGTCACACTTGTATTATTCCCTAGGGTTTAGCCTTCTCTATATACCCTTGGCCAGACTCAGAAGGGGATTAAAAAGCTCTGATCTTGGCCTCTTTCTTCCTTGTTGCTCCTCCCAGCCTTTCCATAACTTACCCATGCACAGCCCATCAGCAGGAACACATGAGAATGTGGGACTTTGTTTCTTTTTTTCTTAGTTGTGTGAATTCCAGATTAGGCCTTACAGATGCTTGTCTACTAATATATCTCAAGTTTGAAAACAATCCCTGACAATTTTGTAGGTGCAATAAATATTAGTCAAATAAACATTTAAGTGCCAAGAAGGAGGGGTGGGGGGAGGAGCTTTTTTTGATTAAACAGAAATTCCTTCAAGTAGAACTTGAGAAAGGACACTAATTACAGTCATCTTAACCCAGGCCAGAACCTATATTTATTGGTTTGCCTAACAGTCTTATTGTCATGGCACTGTTTGCTAAGATGAGCCTTCTTTACATAAAAATGAACTCTCATCTAATGGTGGATGAAAAAAGAGAAATTGCTTTATCATAGTTTAATTTGGCTTGGACTACCAGGGTTCATGTATTCCTCCATTTTTGGTGTGATCTTTTTCTTCTTTCAATAAAGTTATTAAATATATGGCAAAACATTTTTGTTTCCAATGAAAATGCATGATACTCATGTCATGGAGTCAGGCTTGGGAAAATCTATGAAATAATAGTTTGCTGATAATGATATTTTATTATGGCTTTGTGTAGACTACATCCTTAAAGGAGTTTGTGCTTCTTTGCCCATAGAAGGCTTTTTCTCCCTTTGTATGCTTTTATTAAATCTGTTGAATTATATTAATATTTTTTGAATTTACAGGGCCAATGATCTTTTTGGTGGGTTACTTAGATTAGGCCATGGGCTCTTCCTGACCTTTCTTTTTCTCGGTCTTTTAATCATTTCACGTTTTTATCTCTCCCTGAGTAAAGTGGCAAGAAAACTAAAAATGAAAGTTAAATGGGTTGATTTGACAATGTGTCAAGTTCTGATTTAGAGTTAATAAGGAAGGTAGAAACAATTGACCAAAATAAGATATTTGGATCAGGATTATTTAAGCCGTTTAGATTTGGCCAGAGACGCCAGATTTAACAAAGGACTGGGTTCTTATCTTCTTTCATTCATGAATATATGCCTTGGGAGGACACTGGTGATTCCCACAGAATTAGGCCAATGATTTGCCACATTACCCTTTAAGTTAGCCCAGAATTCTATCAGATCCCTCACCAAGTTTCAGTTCATGACTCATACTGAATAAATAGCAGTTGTAAATGATTTTGAATTGGTCTTCCTACTAAAGTGAAACATCTTCTTTTAAATCAAGCCACATGAATGAAATAGCACAATCAGAAAAATTGTTTCTTTCTTTCTTTTTTTTTTTTTTTTTTTTGCATATCAAACCAATGGCCTTCTCCACTAAGCCAGCAACTAAAGATATTCAGAAAACAAGTTAATCGAGGTGGGCCGAACTTTTTGAACTGTGAGGAAATGTTCCTAAGTTTAGATTTATTACCTGTCATTTAGGGCAAAAATCTAATGTCTTTTTTATTTCTTAATCCTGTAGAACTCTGTATTTCACAGTAACGAGTACTTAGGGATCATTGCTCTGTTAGCCTCTGGGAGAGATCTTCTAGGGTTTGCCATTACTTTTTTTCTATAATTTTTTTTGTTGTTGTTGTTTTAACTGCAACTGGTTACTTTTCTCAACCATGGTCCTGACATGTTTATACTATGATACTTTTGAGACTTCACTAAAGAATTAAAAGCTGTGAAACAACATTTGCTTCTCATCCTTCAGACAAAATGTGTTCCATTTAAGCAGCATGGTTAAACACTAATTTTGGGATAAGGGAGGGATATGTTTTCTTTACTTTCTTTTTGGATTTTATTTCTGTGACATAAGCCAATTTGTGTTTGGAAGGAAAGATGCCTTCCTTTACATTCTTCACACTGGCAAATTTTTCATACTGAATCAAGAAATTATCATCCCTTCAAAACACATATTAATATAACAACGTTAGAGTAAGGGAAATGGTATATCATCTCCTCTCCTCAGTCCCTTGATGTTGGAATGTTATTATCATTTCCAGGAGCCATACTTTGAAATTAAAAACAAATGGAGGCATTACCCGACTGGTGAAGGAATTTTAAATGCAAGACATTTAAAGAATACCTGAAGGATTTGGGGAGACTTAGGTTAGGAAAAAGAGCGGATTACAATTAGTGCATTAGAACAAGATGATCTGTGGTTCAGAGGGGTGGAATGAGGCCCACTGAATGAGGCCGTAGGGACACAGATTTGGGTTCCATGTCAGGGAGACCATTCTCAAAAAGTTGGTTCACTATGGGACAGGCTGCCTCAGGTGATAGCCTCTGTCAAGAGGCAAAGATGTGGAGAGGATCCCATTGGTTGGAGATTGGAGCAGGTGACCTATTAACCTAAATTCCCATGTTGTATGTAGTACTTTGCCCCTCATAATATGTTCAATTAAATATCTGTTAATTCATAGCTAATGATTTTTTTAATGGGCCCTCATTCTTCTGCCACAGTGCATCCCACCTTCATCTTTCAGGGAAGAGGTTGGTTGCACGTAGTTAGGCCAAGAGACTGACCCTCCATTATGCCGTATGCTGGACTTGCTTTATCAGTCCATTCGTTGATGTCCTGTTGAAATCACAAATTGGTTCTTGAGTTAAAAATCAAAAGGTATTGTTTTAGTAGAAGTTACATGAAATTATTCATTTATCACTTGCCAAACATAGGCCTTGCTCTGTTTAATAAATAATGGGTGTCTCCTTCAAGATTTTAGGATATGCCTTTTTAACAGAGCAGAATCTTTTGTTAAAGTTCTCACAAACAGACCAACAAGAAGTTTTGCAGCTCCCAAGAGAGATGGGCTGGTGGGTCACTGACATAAAGCAGTCCCCAAGATCTATTTTAGAGAAGTCTCAATGACATGTCCTTTGTTGGTTTGATTCTCTTGAGAATACATAAGTTTAAAAGAACTGAGGTCAAATTGCTTTATGTGGAAAGCAATAAAAACAAGTATTTTTGACTTGAAAATTAGAGGTAACTGTAAGCAATTTTTGCTAATGAAGCCTATGACCCAAATTATTCCACCTGCAAAATAACTTTCACCATTGCAAGGCTGATAGATAGCTCTTCACTGGTCTTTTTTTGTTTGTTTGTTTGTTTGTTTGTTTTTTAAGTCATTGGTCTTAAATCAGTATGGTGACAAATCTATTTGAGTTTGATTGAGACTTTCTTGGACTCCTTTGGACAAGAGGTCAGAGCACAAAGGCTAGTCACCACTTCTTTGACTTCTTGAGGTATGAGCCAAAATTTTACTTTTCCATTGATTTAAAGCAGAATTTTTGGAGATGCTGTGTTCTAGTTCCTGATGGAATCTTTGGTGGTTGGTGACTTTGATACTTCAGAGAGTGATGTGGGGAGTTATACAGAAGGGGAAACACTAGTTTAGGTGTGAGGAGTCCTAGTATGCCACAAATTAGCTGAGACTTTAGGCGAAGCACAATGTCTTGAGCATCAATCTTCTCATCTATGAGACAGACCTGTCAGGATTATTGTGAAAATTAGATAAGTTGAAAGTACAGTGCTTGGTAAACAGCACTCAAATATTAGTTCCTTTTCTCCTTAATTAAGAGCAGACTGAATGGTCTGATGCCAAGTGTAGATCCTTAAGAGACAAAACAAAGAAACTTTCCTGGCTTCAAAGAACTCCATTTCTGAAAGGATGCCTTAAAAGGAAGTCATTTATCTGATCCATCCTTTTGCCTTTGGGCATTGCTGTCACCCTCCATTTCTTTACAAACTTCAGGCAAGGTGGTCTCTCTCTCTCCCAATAGGCAATTCCAGGGTTGTAAACTCATTATCAGGAAGCTTAATCTTAGAACTGAAATACCTCACAGAGCAATTTAAACCTCTTTCTTCTTGATCCTATTCTTCATGGGAAGAAAATTGGGTTGATCCCTCTTCTTTTTAAGGAGCCACGTATGCCATTTATTATTGCTCTTTTGCCTGTTTAAAACAATAACAGTCAGAAAAAAAAAATGATTATCATTGAAATGATAATCATTAAAATGATAATCATTATTTACTTAGTGAATGTCAGGATAGGTATTTATTACTCTTAGCTTCTTACTGGTATCAGATGTAGATCACAGTCTTACTGTTGATTAACTCTTCAGTTATATATATATACTTTGATTCTTTAGTTATATAATTGATAACAAAGTGTGCTTCTGAAGAATTATTCTGGCTGTATGGTTCTTGTTTCCTTCCCTTGGTAAAAATGGAGTCATGAATCTCAGTTTTGTGATCTGCTTTTAATTTCATATATGACATTATTTGATGTACATAATTACCAACATCCAAAAGGGTTTCTTCCCCTTTCTACATGTGCACTAAATTCTAAAACAAAAATTGGAATACAAAATGTCTAAAAAAGCAAAAATTCATGTACAGAAAAGCAAAAGATAATCTAGTTTGTTAAGATAATTTGTCACTAGCTGGTTGAATAATGCACAGTTTTTGTTTAAGGTTACACAGTTATGCCTGGATTAAATAACAATAGTAAAACCTGACAAGTCTTTTGAAAAACAGCTGCTAAACATATTACTTTCTGGAATGTAATCATTAGCAACAAATATTCTCTTATTCTATACAATTGCAGAATGCTAGTGGAACTTTCTTGTAGGCTATTTGACAATGAATGTTAATTGATTTATTTTTTAAAAATGTAAAATCCTCTTATCCCTTTAAGGCTGGTTTAGGCTTTCATGTCCCTGTGGTAGAAAATTTCAAATGCTGGCTTCTAATTTCTACTCACTGAAGTGTCTTCCAGACATACCAGATGGTTGGAGCTCCTTTGATAGTATATAAGGGAGCTACATAAATGTATTTGAACTAACTCGTGAACAAAATTTCTGTTTTCAGCAAAAAAAAAAAAAAAAGGAAAAAGAAGAAACAAACTCTGCTCCAAATTTCAGATAATACAGGAGTAAAAAGAGGTTTTTGATAATCTGAAGGGAAAAAGTGTGCCCCATATATCTTGTACACACTTTTAATGCATGACTTTTAGTATAGAGATGAAATAAAATGCAAAATATATAATTCTGGAGATCTCAGCAGCTAGTTAAAATATTTAGAGAAGCTGCTTTATGAAAACTTAGAGAATCCTTGATCTCCCCCACCTTTCCTATCACTCCATTAAGACATGGATCTTTAATATTAATACACACATAGTTTTAACTAATAAACAAGTTAATCACTGAGTTTTATGAACTCGATTCTTGATATTTGGCTATTGGTTTTAAGCATAGGATATCAGTATTATTTGTATACAGCAATATATAAAATCTAACCAACTTCAGTATAAGAATAGTACTTGATTTTAAATGTTAATATGCAAATATTAACAGTATACTACATCATATTTTATGTGTTCATATATTGATCTTTTTACTTAACAAAAAGCCTGTTAGAAATATAACCCACTGATGACCTGAGTCCAATTAGCTGAAAACATTCTGTAGAAAGATGATTGTATGAAAAATTCAATCAACATTAAAAAAGGGAAGGGGAGAGGGAACACAAACTTGAACAAAATATTCTTAAATGAAGTTGCATCTCTTTTTAAAATTAAGATATAATTCGTGCACCATACAGTTTACCCTATTAAGGTGTAAACGTCAATGTTTGTAAACATATTCACTAAGTTGTGCAACATCACCACTGCCTAACTTCAGAACATTTTCATTACCTCCAAAAGAAACCCCATACCATTTGCAATCACTCCTCCTCCTCCCCCCCACCCAGTATCTGGCAACCACTAATCTACTTTCTGTCTCTAAGAATTTGCCTATGCTGGACATTTCATATAGTCAAACAATATGTGGCCTTTTGTGTCTGGCTTCTCTAAGCATAATGTTTTCAAAGCTCATCCATGTTGTAGCATAAATCAGTACATTGTTTTCATGGTTAAATAATATTTCATTGTATGTATATGCCACATTTTATTTGTCCATTTATCATCTGATGGACATTTGGGTTGTTTCCACTTTTTGATTATAATAATGCTGCTATGAACATTTATGTAAAAGTTTTTTGTATGGGTGTATGTTTTCACATCTCTCTTAAAAACAATTAGTCTAACAAATCAAATCATTTATGTTTAAGCAGAACCTCTTGCAATCCTATTTGGTGAGTGCAACTTATGATCTTAGTTTAACTGATCAATTAGGAGACCCCTGAATAAAGTCTAACTCCCCAATATATCCATAAGAATTTTTCTATGAGCCTGTCATTTAGATGTGATAATCAATCAATTTCATGAAGACTGTTTCAGTCTTGTAGAAATTGAGTTGCCATCACATAGAGGATTTCTTGTCCTCTGTATTGTTTAAAGGACAACTACAAATCATGCTGGATAAGAGTGTTCATTCAATCTTTTAGGATTCAATGAAGTAGCATTTTAAATATGTAAGTTATTTTGTATATTGTCTGTCTTTTAAAGTTTGGACTTTACTTCTTGAAAAAAAGTTTGTCAAATCGCCAAACCATATGACTGTCCATTCATTGTAGCTTATGTTTTTATTATTCAGAAATAATTCATACTGAGAGTAAAAGAAAAAGAATGTATTTTGTGTGCAAAGGATGAATGTATTAAAAACTTTTTATTTGTAACAATTTTTTAAAAAAACTAAATGGAAATTGCTTTCCCATGTACTTGTATATAAATAAACATTTCCTGTTGCCCACATTTGGATAATCGTATGCCATCAAAATATGTAAAAAGCAAACAAACTTTAAGTGTACTAATGTCTTTCAGCATGGTGCAAAATGCGCCCTGGATCTGGGGGACCTGGAGATCTGAGTTTAAATGTTGATTTTCTAACTGGCTAACTTTGGACAAGTCATTTAACATTTTGCACTATGGTTTTCTCCTTTATAAAACAAAGGGCTAGATTAGATCATCTTTAAGGCGTCCTCTGATTATAAACACTAAATGAGACTACTCTGCTATATTCAGGATATGAAAATTGTATGCTAATTATTTCTATTGGTGAGAAAGATCCTTTATCCTATCATATATATTGGAAGGAGTATTACACTGAGAACTAGGAATCACAAATTCTAGTCCCAGTTCTGACACTGAGAAGCCATAAATTCTAGTCCCAGTCAGTGTGACTTCAGGTTAATCACTTCATTTTAAACTTTATTTTTCCCAACTACAAAATATGGACACTAGATTAGATAGTTTCAAGATCCCTTCCAGCTAAAACACATTATATGATATCACTTGAGATTTTCTACACAATTAGTAATAAGACTACTCATCACTAGTAGGACATCCATTCCTTCACCCATTCATTTATTCACCATTTATTGAACATCTACCATAGGGCAGGCACAAGAGTCTGCCTTTTAGATGCCCCCATCTCCACTGTAGAAGTCATAGATTTGCACCTTTTCCTGAAATTCATTTCCACTCCAATCCTTGCCTCTCACCCTCTGCCTTGAGCGTGCATTTCAGAGTTGAATGTCCTAGATTAAGAGTACAGGAGGTCATGGAACATGATAGAGTTAACAGGATGACAAAGGTGTCAAACCTTTGACCTTGGGCTCTCTAGCATAGTGTTCTTTAGTTGATTGAACACAGGCAATCTGTAACCCTTTCTGCCACTATTATTTAATATTTATAAAGTATTGAGCTTTGAAAACCATCTGCTATAATTTTATGTTATTGTCCTGTGGCAGCTTATCTGCAGTTGGTAAGAGGCCCTTAATTTTGCTATTTTACCACCTTCACTAAAAGGATATGTTTGCAGAAATTTCTTTTCTAAATTTGCATGTGTCATGGTTTTTAAGCGTTCTATTATTAATATTAGTTTGAGCCACATGGAATTGGTATTCTTGTAAGTCAAAACAAGCCAGATATTGGCAATTTTATATCATTCTCATATGATCTTGTAAGTCATAGCAGCAAAGACTGGCAGGCAAATGCCACTAGCTGTAGAAAAAAATTAAAACTCTTAAGTTTTTTTCATTCTGCTTTGTTTTTACCACTAAGGGAATTTAGACAAGTTAGTTTGCCTTGCATGTTGGTTTTTCCACTAGTTGAATGGGACAAATTGCAAACTTGCATAGAATTTTAAAATGCTCATTCATATAAAAATCATTATAGATCCCTGAAGAAAAACATAAATACAGTTTATTCCTAAAATATCAAAATGTTTAGATCATTGTGCTTCTCACATGGGCAGTTTAATGATACAGATACACAATTCTTTGGCAAATTGGAAATCAGTATTTTAAAAAGCATTGAGGATCAGTATTATTAATTGACTCGATTATTCCATGTCTGTTACCTGGCAGACTATAATTGACGTATACTATCTATATACCTCAAAATGTATCTGTAACTGAGAGATGAAACCTGGAGCTATAGTTAAACCATAACCACATGGGTGTACTTTCGGCCAGGTGCTCACATCTGAATATTTCAAGACCTGTAGTACATTTCAGGAACTGAAATACCTTATTTCTATTACTCACAAGAAACCACATGTTTAATAATATAAGATATCTTATCTGTATTTTCATGCCTGGACTTTATTCTGGCCATAGAATGGTTGCATTTTCACATCTAGATCAAAATAAGCTTGAAGACACAGTCTTTCTGACTTTGTTCTTAGAGATGAACCCACAAGAATTAACAACTGTATGAGGCCTAACATTCTACAAAGTTTACTGGTGCTCATATTTATATTTAATCTTCATTGTAACCCTGTGAAGTACTTTCGGTTCCTGAAGTACAAGGCATACAGATTTTGAGGCAAGGCAAAGATTAAGACACTGCTTTGAACATGGAAATATTCTGGGCAAAGGGAATGAAGAGTATAAAGGCTTTAGGCCAAAGAACCTATATTACTTTGGACAAGTTATTTAACCTGTTTTCACCTCGGTTTCCTCATTTATTAAATGAGGATCTCAATGCTTGTCTTCATTTATTTGTCAGTTACCTGTCATGTGCCAGATAGTGTTCTAGTCACTGGAACTATAGCAGTGAACAAAATTTTAAAAAGGTACTTTTGTGGAATTTGCATCATAGCATGGGAGGGGTAGAAAATAAAGAAATGTGTAGTACATCAAGTGGTGATCATTACTATGAAGAAAATAAAGCCAGGCATAGAGGCTCACACCTATAATCCCAGCATTTTTGGAGGCCAAGGTAGGCAGATTGCTTGGGCCCAGGAGTTCGAGACCAGCTTAGGCAACATGGTGAAATCCCTTCTATACAAAATACAAAAAATTAGATGGCATGCTGGTGTACACCTGCAGTCCCAGCTACTCAGGAGGCTGAGGTGGAAGGATCGCTTGAGGAGGAGGTCTAGGCTGCAGTGAGCTGTGATCGTGCCATGGCACTCCAGCCTAAGTGAGGGTAAGAAAGAATAAACAAACCAGGGAAAGGCCATGATGGTGGAGTGTTGCTAATTTATGTAGGGTGGTCAAGGGAAGGCTTCATTGATAATGTGTCATTTGAAAATAGACCTGAAAGAAGTGAGGGACGGAATAGTATACACATCTTGAGGAAATGTGTTCTAGGCAGAGGGAACAGAGTGTGCACAGGCATTAAGGCAAAAGAATTCCTGGATCTCTAGGAGCATCAGTGATTCTGGTATGGGTGAAATAAAATCAATGAGTAGGGGCAAGGATAGATGAGATTTGAGAGGGATACTGGCATAGATCACAGCACCTTGGAGGCCATTGCAAGGACTTTGGTTTTCACTTAGAGTAAAATGGCAGCCCTTGGAGGGTTTTGAGTAGAAGAGCAATTTGGATTTATATTTTAGCATGGTCACTCTGCTGTCCTGTGAGGATGGATTATAAAGGGCCAAAGGCAGAAGAAATGAAACCATCTAGGGAGACTGCTGCTACAATGCAGGTGAGGAAAGGTGACTTGTACTATAGGAGTAAGTGTGGAGATTGTAGAAAGTGCTCATGATCCTGGCTATATCTTATTTAACTTTGTATTATATTACAGAAAATGTCAACATAAATAAAAGCAAAATAGTGTAATGATACTTTATGTACACATAATTATCAACTCATGGTCAATAATTGCAATAATTATCAACTCATGGTCAATTTTATTCTATCTATATTCCCTCCATTTTCTCCATTCTGTACTATTTTGAAGCAAGGTCCATACATCATACAATTTGTTTCTTAATTTTTAAATTTCAATTTAATTTAATAACTTTTTTTTAGAGATGGGGTCTTGCTTTGTTGCCCAGGCTGGTCTAGAACTCCTGGCTTCAAGCAATCCTCCCACCTTGGTCTCCAAAAGTGCTGGGATTAAAAATGTGAGCCCCTGCACCTGGCTCATCACACGATTTCATCCAGAAATATTTCAGTATGTATCATTAAAGGACAAGAGTTTTAAAAACAACCATAATATCATTATTGTATCTGAAAAGTTTTGAATATATCTTTGATATCCTCAAGCATGGATTCTGCATTTTTAAAAAAGATAGAACCTATAGGTCTATTTATTTTTTTTTTTTTTAGAAACAGGATGTCTCTCTGTTGCCCAGGTTGGAATGCGGTGGTGCAATCACAGCTCACTGCAGCCCTGAACTCCTACGCTCAAGCAATTCTGCTACCTCAGCCTCCTGAAGTGCTGGGATTACAGACATGAGGTACTGTGCCAGGCCTGGGCTTATTTTTTTCTAAGATAATGCTAATAATTTGGACACTGACAGCTGTTTTACTAATCAATGTGTCATTAAGAGCAGAATTATTTGGCTTTAGAAAATCGTGCAAGGCAAAAACAAAAACAAACACCCAACCATGTGGTGGCAGGGCACAGTGGCACATGCCTGAAATCTCAGCATTTTGGGAGGCCAAGGCAGGCAGATCGCTTGAGCCCAGGAGTTTGAAACCAGCCTGAGTCACATGGTGGAACTCCATTTCTTTAAAAAAAAAAAAAAAAAAAAAAGCGTGGCATGGTGGTGTGCGCCTATTGTCCCAGCTACTCAAGAGGCTGTAGTGGGAGGATCACTTGAGCCTGGGAAGTCAAGGCTGCAGTGAACTGTGATTGCACTACTGCACTACAGCCTGGGCAATAGAGTGAAATTGTCTCAAAAACAACAACAAAAAACACATGGTGAGGGCTAGGCATGGTGGCGTGTGCCTATAATCCCAGCACTTTGGGAGGCCGAGTCGGGAGGGTCACTTGAGACCAAGAGTTCAAGACCAGAAGACCAGACTGGGCTACATAGTGGGGCCCCATTTCTACAAAATAAAAAACCCCACAACTTTTTAATTAACCAGGAATGGCAGCATGTGCCTGTAGTCCCAGCTACTTGGAAGGCTAAGGTAGGAGGATCACTTGAGCCCAGAAGTTTTTGCCTATAGTGAGCTATGATTGTGCTACTGTGCTTCAACCTGAGCAACACAGCAAGATCCTATCTCGAAAACAAAATGTGGTGGAATGTTGGTTAGGATTATTTGGCTATATATAATTTTTGAAACCTGAGACAACAAAATACGGTTTTTGTTTGTTTGCTTGTTTTTTGTCATCATGTGAAAGTCTAGAGGTTGGTAGCCTGGGACTAGTATTGTGGTTTCATGATATTGTCCACTCAACATTTCCATTTTTATCTCTCTGGCCAGGACTTGGCCTGCAAGGGAGCATGGAAAATATATTCTTTCAATAGGGAATAATGCTACCCTGAGTAAAATAGGTGTTTTT